CAAAATTGGAAAATTACTTTTCATTGTTGCTAATTTCGGGGATGCTTTCCAAAAGCTGAATCACCTCGTCTTCCAAAGCAATATACTTTTTTTGAGAACTTTTTTGAGCTGAAGGGTAGCAGCTGGTAGCACCTCATTTTGACACTGGACGATTCACAAAAGCTAATTCTATAAACACAGAAAGATTGGTGGCAGGAGATCGTAGGGGTCACAAGTTCTATTCCACGAAAGTCTGAGGTATGTAAGTAATGCTACTGTAAACGAAATGTTAACTTATACATCGATTTACCACGAATACAAACAAACACAGGGCACACATATGTTTTTTTTATTAAATACATACCAACTTTGACTTAGGATAACACTTATTTCAGAAAAAATTGCAAAACTTTAACTTTTACAAAGCAGAAGAAAACGCTTAAAAAGTGCGGGAAAATATATTTAGGTGTGGACAGAAAAATTTAGTGAGCTTCCCTAGCTCACGACTGCGTGACTATCGATTAGAAAAATGTAGTAGTATAAAAATAGATATTGGCGGGATTTTAGTTTTCAAAATAAATAAAAATATGAATTAAATTTCAACCTTTAATTTTATATTTATTGCCTGCCAGATTGGCTCAATCGACCACTGTGCTGCTTAAGGAAAAAAGGAATGCCTGGACCAAGTTCTGCACGAACATTCAACAAACATCAGAGGCCTCCCGACTCCGGAAGGTCCTCGCAACAACTGCACCAAACGTAGGATACATTTAAACCTCGGAAGGAACTGAACTGAAGGTAACTGTCCAGCAAAGAAACCCTAGAGGCTCTCACAGAGGCACATTTCCCGGAATTCTCTCTAGAAGAAACAACCCTGGAAACGCAGAGACAGGGGGACAGCCCCTCCCTCCCGAGCCAACTTGAATACCTCTTAAGTGACAGGTATCTCAGCTAAGCAATAAATAGTTTCGAGCTTTTCAAATCCCCAGGCCGAGAGGGCATTGTCCCCTGAGGTCATGGGTCAGGAAAGCTTTCTTAGCAATTTTCAGAATAGGCACCGTGCCCGCAATGTGGTTGCGGACGAAGGTCTTATTCATACCCAAAGCGGGAAAATCATCACACTGCACCCCTAAGGACTTCAGACCTATAAGCCTGTCGTCCTTCCTTCTCAAGACATGGGAGAGACTAATCAGCCTCCACATTACTCTTACCATCAGATGATATCTCGGGATAACAGAATGCGTATAGGATGGGCTGATCCACGGAGACAGCACTCCACGGGATCTTTACGATCGTCAAAAAGGCACTTAGTGACAAGGAATTTGTTCAACAACAACCTGCCATGTTCGATATTCAATGCGCTAACGAGGCTAGCAGATCTTGGTAAACAGGACTGTTGAAGATACGTCAGAAGAGGCACTCCGCAAGGAGGTGTACTCTAACCTTAACTGTGGAACGTTAGAAGCCTACTACGATCCCTAGAAGGTTGCAAGGTTATTGCTTATGTAGATGATGTCGCAATTGCCTTCTCTGAAAAATTTCCCCAGTCTCTATGCGACCGCATGATGGAGAAACTTGGGGTATGGACTTTCAATATCGGCAGTTAGGAATGGACTAGATGTAAGCCCATCCAAAACCGAACTTTTCCTCTGCACTAGGAAACAAAATACCAAATTAGGGCTTCCAAAACTATCAGGAGAAACACTCCGCTGTGTAAAGACTGCAGTCTGGCAGTCAAGTCAATCACGAGACACTGGTTAATAGGAGCACACGCGGCTAGACTAGCGGTGCCACATTGTGACTACTGCAGGAGCTGTGGGGATGTAGAAGAGGAAGAGACAGTCGCACACCTCCTGTGTCAATGCCCTGCGCTGGGGCTCTGCCGACTCAAATTCTTGGGCGCAGCAGCACTCACGGACCTAACAGACATCGCGGAGATCGCTCCACGCAGACTCGTAGCCTTCATCCGTAAATCTGGATGGGACCGCGAGCCGCCGCAGGAAGGTTAGTACTCCTCTGGGCACATTAGTAGAAAGGAGAGAAAAGATCCCTTTCTAAGACCTCTTGCCTGTGCGGTATCACAAGGAGCACCAGCGGCACTAGTGGATGGGGGTGTCAATGACAGGCCCCGCATCGGCGCCTCAACCTAGCCTAACCTAGCACTACAAAGCTTAGTGAACCATTCGATTGCTAGAATTATTAAAGCACACCCAGAAAGTTTTCCTCACCATATGGAAAATAATATTGTAATAAAACCGAGTTAACTGCTACCTATAAATAGGCTGTGATGGGAGCAGCTGTCATTCTACATACAGGCCAAAATTCAATGACTTCGATGGAAACATGATAGAACATGATAGGGCCGACAGTTTTATGGAAAAAAATCGACCTTCTTCTACTCGATATTGTCGATCCATAAAGATACTTTACGAAAAAGAATCGGCAGACTTGACTCGCAGAGAAACTGAAAATATGAAAAGCCTAATATAAAATATTTTAACAACATTAATGGGTAGCTTTAGAATCGATCACCAATTTCATATGACCATGCTTGATGGCCTACCGTTCAGGGTCATATCGGAATCCTCTTCGAATGTGAACGATCTGAATTTGGTAAAGAGCTTGTCTATTAAAGAAACCCTTATTTCTTTATATTTCAAGGTATATTAAGTATTCTAAAATTTCTTTTACAAAAACAATTATTATGGGCGGTGATGTTAAGAGTTTGCAATAAAGCATCTGGATATGCCTCTCATCTGGATATAAAAAATAAAGTTTATTAATAAAATATTTTAACTGAAGTTTAAAAAAAATAAAAATAAAAATCTGTAGGAAGTTTCAACTTTCTGTCTTCAAAAACACGAAATTTGGGTCATTTGTAGTCATTTTGGGACAGCTATAGGATATAGTCGGCTGATCCTTATGAAATTTGGTGGGTCGTCTGAGTCTTCTTCTCCGTGTCGGAGACGTCTCCTCCACTGCGTTGCACACTTTTGACCAAAATAATTGTAACGAACTGTTTTTCTGCTTCCGTTCGCCACAATTTGCCGCGGATAGCTCACAGAATTTCGCGGATCCGTTCCACCGAATTTATAGATTCGACGTGATTGCCCAAGCCCAGAAAATAATGCAAATAGCTTGAGATTTTCACACTCTTTATTTCGAGATCTCTTCAAAATACACAAGGTTTTCCTTCTCTCTTTCTCGTTGATCCTTCCGTTTCTGCCGGCTCCGTCGTCGGCGTCCTCTGCGGGTTGGTCAGGATACGCCGCCGCTACTCCGTCGCCGATGGTATTCCTGGTGCCGCGCTGCCAGCGATTTCGCTACCCTCCGCCCTTTTGCCTTGAAAACACCCCCTGGGGTCGACTACGACTGGTCAGACGATTGGCAGTGCTTTTTTGCCCCCCTACTCCCGGGAACCTTCGTGCCGGCGGGCCGGGATTATAAATTGGTTGCGGATCGTCGCCTTCGCTACACCGGACACCGTGCATTTGCTCCGGTGCCAGGTTTGGGAGTTTGTTTGCTGACTGCCGCTTCGGCTACACCGGGACACTGTGCATACGCGCCAGTGCCAGGTTAGGGAATGCTTATGCGTGTCGCGTTCGCTACACCGGGACACCGTGCATACGCTCCGGTGCCAGTTTTGGAAGTTGTCGTGTGACTGACCGTGCGTCGCGCTCCCGCTACACCGTGCATACGCGCCGGCAAACCCGAGTCGGCCTCCTTGTTTCGCAGGACCACGCCTGTTGGTTGTGATTTCAGGAGTCGGTAAGGCATACGCCAGACTTATCCTTTTCTCACTTCCTTGCAAGGCTACCTGTCGTGTTCGGGAATGGCCCAACTCGATCTCCCCACCCTGGTTTTGTCTTGTGTCTCGTCCTTTACGTTCCGTGTACACCGGGCGTGCGATCCCGAGTCGGTCTATCCTTGTTTCGCAGGACCACGCCTGTTAATCTTCCTGGATTCTGCTCCTGCCGTTAATCCTGCTTCCAAAATTACGCCACTTTCCCGTTGGCGGGTCGCTGACCGTGGCTCCTCGTTTCCCCCGGCCACGGATCTCTGCTGCTGGTATGTGGTGCACAGGTGGGCACCGGTGCACTCTGCGTCGCAACCCCCCCTTTGCTCCTTGCCGCTCCTTTGCTGCTCACTCCGCCACACTTTCTAAGGCACGCCTGCGCAACATGCTGGTTCCCCCACTGGCCTACTTTTCCACCGTTGCTTCGGGAACCGTTACGTTCCACGTCGATTCCATCTTCCCCCGGGTGGCGGCATTTACCCCTTTACCGAACACTGTTACGTTCCACGTGGATTCCGTACTCCCACGGGTAGCATTACTTCGCCCTTCGCCGGAACCCACGGTAACTGGCTTTTACATTCCCCCAAACCCCCCGTACTGATCCTGGCGACAATCCATTTAGGTTGATGACAGCCATTTAGGCTGCTAGGTTGATGACAGGTGGTTGACCTCCTTTTTTCCGCTATCGCGCCTCCTCGGCTATATTTTTCAAGCAGGCTAGAGATTGAGCCGATAAATGAGTATTGAGTATTAGGCATTGCTTGCAAATAACTGTAAACCTTTTTTCCCTTATGTTCAGTTTATGAGAACAACCGAAAACAAAATTTGACAATCACTCTCTCTCGGAGCAGGGGACTTAAGTACTTTATTTTGATTTTGGTTTTTGGTTGAATGTTTTCGTTGAGAGTTTCGTAAAATGCTCGCCTACTGAACATTGCTCACTGAGAGATATAAGACCCTGAGAGACCCTCATTAAAAGACCGATTGACCGAAAAAGTCTATTCAAAAAGTCTTTTCAATACTTTGAAATAGAAAATAAATCTTCCATCTGTTCGATGGCAGGGATACAATGTGTAATTGTTTGAATGAAAAAATAATTTTTTGTTATAATTTATTTTCTATTATACATGTTGGCGACCCCAGAATTGGTTAGTTTTATTAACAGCACAATGATATACGAAATAATAAGTATAAGTAATGGATACCACATATTAGCAGTCTGTTATTTTAGTATTATTTTTCATTTATTTTAAAGTTTTATTTAATCTGGAAAGCTATCGTCTTTATATTTCCAGCAGTAGAAAGAGTCTCAAAATGTATATTTTGCATAATAGATACTTCTGAATTTGGCAGTGAAAACTGTAGCGGCGACTTTGTGGATATACTCTTGTAGTTAAACGTCCAATGAACACCTTGTGGAATTCTTGTTACAAGATCAAAACACTGAGCTAATTTAGAAGACCAAACTGAAATGGAATCAAAGCTTAATCTTTCTCTTCTATAAAGCATTATTAATTCATCAAGATTTTTAAAAGCACTCATAGTAATAATGGCAGAGGACTCCCCAAAATAGTATTGAGGAAAGTCCAAAACTACTATTGGAGACCCTTTTTTCCTATGACCATACTGTTTTTTTGTATCTGCTTCTTCATATTCCTCAATGTGTATTGTTGAGCAATTCATACGGTCAATAAGATTCACAGATTTAAGGTAATTTGGATGAATTTTCAACCGTTCGTCCATTGGTATTAATTTTGCACGGATTTTTTTTATCATATCGTCCCGGACATATTCCTCTACAAGAACACTTGTTATTAATCCACTTCCCATCGTGTGGCTTAGGTCCTTGACTATTGCCTCTGCAGCTTGGTTCATATCACCACTACCGAAAATTATAGTTATTTGTGGACATTTCCATTTATTTTCAGTCCCATCATCCGGAAATTTGTCCTGGTGTCGCTTGAGTAAATGGGCAAAAATGTCTGAGCTTGATTCCAAATTTTCTAATGTTACCAAATTTTCAACGGGTGCAGACATTTTTTTTTTATTACTGAAACTTCAATTTGGGATTCGTGTTTTAAACAATATTTAAAAACAAAATGATACCATAAAATTTTTAACTGCAAATTGCTTATGAAATTGTTTGTACAGTTTACTTTGTTTAAGTGAGGTGCATACTTTCTATTCTCTCGATGGAAGTGTCGATGGTTTACGTTGTTGACTACAAAAACGATTCACATAAGTTTTGCTTGGTTTTTAATCTACTTTGTAATTATTCATGAACCTTTTATCATACAATTTTCTTGATTTTGACGTGGAAAGCTGATTTATAAGAATTATTTTGCATTATACCCTTGCAGAGGATATTTATTTTTACCCTTGCATAGAGGATAACTTTGCCCAAAGGTGTGCAACACAGAGAAGGAGACATCTCCGACCCTATAATGTATATATTCTTGATCAGGATCACCTCCTGAGTTGATATGAGCATGTCCGTCTGTCTGTCTGTTTCTACGCGATCTGGTCTCTCAGTGTAAAGCTATCTCAAGCTATCGCATTGAAACTTTGCACATACCCTTCTATCCTTTGCACGCAGTATATAAGTCGGAACGGCCAGCATCGGCTGACTATATCCTATAGCTGCCGTATAACTGATTGATCGGAAATGGTGTAAATTTGGTGATTTTAGAGTTAGAGAGTTCAAATTTTACATGAGATGTATTTGGCAATATAATACGACATGCCAAATTTCATAAGGATCGGCCGACTATATCCTAAAGCTGATATATAACTGAACGATCGGAAATAACCCAACTTTCGTTTTTTTGAAGATAGAAAGCTGGAACTTGGTACAGATTCTATTTTTGATCAGATAATCCGACCTACCCAATTTCATAACGATCGGCCGACTATATCTTATAGCTGCCATATAACTGAACGATCGGAAATTAAAAGTTTAAAAACACGAAAGTTGGGTTATTTCCGATTGTTCTGTTATATGACAGCTGTAGGATATAGTCGGCCGATCATTATGAAATTTGGCATATCGTATTATTTTGCCAAAAATAGCTCTCACGTAATATTTGAAAAATTGTCTAACTCTAAAAACACCAAAGTTATACCATTTCCGACCAATCAGTTATATGGATATAGTCGGCCGATCTTTATGAAATTTGGTAGGTCATATTATACTTTTAGGGTCGGAGATATCTCCTTTACTGCGTTGCACACTATTGACCAAAATTAAAATACCCTCTGCAATGGTATAAAAATTTAGAAGTAAAAGTCTAGTAGAACAAAATACATTTATAAACAAAATATATAAAGATATACATAAATAAAAAAAGAAAAAAGTCTTGCTGAATTTTCAATTATAGGTTTTCACCCTTTCATAGAAATTCTTTTCGCCATCGGCAAAAAATTCGAAGAGCAAATTTTCACAGGCTTTTTTTCTCTACCGGCTTGCCATTGTTTAGGTGAGGGGCCGTGGTGCCGCTCAGCTGAAGAGCGCATCCGCGCTGAAGAGCGCACCCGCGCTGAAGAGCGCACCCGCGCTGAAGAGCGCATCCGCACTCGCCCCTCTGTGAACTCTCTCTCTCGCTCGTTGGTTGTCGTCGGTGGTCTCTTTTTGTACTAGTTTTTAAGTTGGAAATCCTCTGTACGCAGCCAATAAAGATGAACGCGTTTCTTTTAATTCAACTGAAGACGCCCTCGACTTATCATTTTCAACCCCTACTTTCTGGAATCTTTTGCGGCAGCAGCGCCCCCCTACACATTTTGGTCCTTCGAGCCGGATATTGTGGATATTTTGTATATTTTGGATATTTGGATATCTTCTACCAGCAGTCCAGGCATTGTTCCGCCAAAAGATAAGTACGAAATTTTTCCCGTCTCCGTCTCTCTGCCGGTCTTCAGCATTGGTCCGAACATTAAATTTCGTTCACACTGGTGCAAGATTTGTAATTTTTTTTCTCTACCGTGTCAACTCCAAGTCCGAGTTTTTCGACACCACGGCAGCTTGAGATTTTTCTAAGACAAAAACCCTACAAAATTTTCCATCCATCTCCGTTTTGTGTGCCTCGCTATATTTCCCGCCGTTGTTGGCCTTTCCGTTATCTATTTGCTCGCCAACGGTCGAGGCATATGTGCATGCATACACACATACATTGTTTTTGGTGCAATTAATCCGCAAAAAAAAAAAAAATCCGCAAGTCAACAGTGAAAGTGTGTGGTGAAAAAAAAGGCATAATTAATATTGGCCAGCAAGTGTAAAGTGGTTCCGATAATTTCCAAGTTCACCGAACAGTCCGCCGCTGTCGTAATATTGGTTTTTTCTTCCCCAATTTTGTACACCACATAACTTTCCCGTTCCCCCAGTTACATATTATCGACGCTCCACTGTGCCAGCATATTTATTTATTTATTTATTTATTTATTTATTTATAATTATAACTAATAAAATTTATTTAATTCTTATTTTCCGCCCGAGCAAAGGGCCAGGTTTTTTAATTCACCTTTCCGGCCATTCAATGATTAAAGTCGAAAATTTAATTATCGAGAAAAAATTATAATTAATTGTCAATCTTCTTTCTGAACCGAGCCGCGGTTTCAATTCCACCGTTCCAGTTTCGTGATACTTAACCTCCATTGATTAAAAATTGAAATTTTCAACTACACCCGTCTGTCTCCATAATAATTAAATCCGACAATTAGGCAAAAATTAATAATTTATTTTTTCTCTGTGTTAAATCCAAGCCAAAGTCAAGTCCACCTTTCCGGCTCCGCAAATTCGAAAATAGTTATGAATTAAATATTTACGTACGAGCCATACTGGTCGAAATATACATTGTCGTCGCTCGGGTGGGAGTTGCCTTAAACATACGGCGGCGATGGGGCAACCCGCCTTAAAACACCAATGTAGCTCCGTGTATATATGTATGTTTTATTCTAGTGGAAGTACAAGTTATAGAAAAGATGCTAATAATAATAATAAACATTACCGCAGTATAACCTCCCACACTCCATGGCTTTCGACGACAAATTCACCACCAAATTCACCAATTATCTACCTAGTGTGCCCAATCTCTTCATGAGGGCACAATACCAAATTTCAATAATAATACTTAATACTAAACTATCGATAATCGATCCGCGACATCCCCACCTCCGTGAAGAACCCCTTCACTCAAGTCCAAAGCCGCCAACTTTGAAGCGGGGCGCCTTATCCAGCGAGTCCGATCTCCATCCATGATCCTAACGCGGGCTCGTCTGACCTCACCATCCGTTCCAGTAAAGGCCTCCTCCACGACGCCTTTCCGCCAGTCTCGACGCGGAACGGCTGGATCGCAAACGAAGACGATGTTTCCTCGTTGAATCGGCTTCTCTCTGCGGCATCACTTCTCTCTCCGTGTCAGCGTGGGAAGGTACTCCAAGACCCACCTTTTCCAGAAACGGTCCCTCAGCATCATTGCCACGCGCCACTGCTTTCGCGTAGCTCCTTCCTAAATGAGGCCTCCATCCAGGCCGGGTGTATCCGGTGGGCAAGCTGCTCCCTTGAGAAGATCGTTTGGCGTAAGAGGGGCTTCCTGGTTCGCACTCACTGGCAAATGGGTGAGCGGACGAGAGTTAACAATGTTCTCCGCCCCTATCAGGAAACTCTCCATTACGTGCTCCTTCGGCGCCACTTCCTTCACTGTTTGACGCAGCACCCTCTTCACGCATTGCACCATTTGCTCCCAGGCTCCACCCTCTGAAGGGTTCGCTGGGCAATTGAAGATCCATTCAATGCCCTTACTTGACAGCTCCGACTGGATCCTCTCGGGTTCGAAGATCTCCGCAAATCTCTTGGCCTCCCTGTCAGCTCCAACGAAGTTCTTGCCGTTGTCGCTGCGCAGTCTATGTACAGGCCCTCGACGGCAGATGAAGTTCCTGATTGCAATTACGCAGGAGTACGTGGACAGGTCATGTGCTAGTTCCAAGTGGATCGCCCTGGTCGTCAGGCATGTAAACAAGGCCACCCATCGTTTCTCTTGGTGCCGATCAACGGTCACTAGCAGTGGTCCAAATTAGTCGAGGCCCGTGCTCTTAAACGGCCAGCCATAGGCCTCCAAACGATCCTCTGGCAGAGGTCCCATAATCGGCGCCATCGGTCGTACTCTGTTCAGCTTACACTCGCTGCATCCCGAGATCACATTGCGAAGCACTCTCCGCAGGCTCGTAATCCAGAACCTGGTCCGGATTTCCGTCATCGTAGCATCCACGTTTTGATGCTTCATCCTCACATGGGCATCGCGCACAATCATCTCCGTGAGACCGTGTCGGGTTGAGAGGATCACAGGCCTCCTGGCGCTGTACGGCAAACATAGCGCCGCATCAATCCTGCCATACGCTCGCAGGACTCCATTGCCATCTAGGTATGGCGCCAGTCCACATATGTCGCTTTCTTTAGCGACATCCAGGCCATTATCGGCGGCCTGCATCTCGTCGGGGAACGCCTCACGTTGTGCTATACGGACTAACAAGTCCTCAGCTGCTTCACACTCAGCTGCAGTGAGGCCGTAGTTCTCAAGCTCGTCTCGTTGTTCACGGCATCGACGTGTGAACCTTAGGACCCAGGCCGTAGTCCTCAACAATCGCCTGTAGCTTGAGAATCTCTGCAAGGATATAAACGTGTCACTCGTGCCAACGAGCACAAACTCACTCGGCATTTCCTATTCATCTTCTGCGTCCGCTTCGTCGGTAGGTGCGGTTCCCGGCCAGCAGCTCGGTGATCTCCTCAGGAATGCCGGTCCTTTTAACCAGCGTGACTCCTCGCTCAGGTCTACGCTGCGTTGCGCCCGAGTCGCATCATCCGCCACGTTGTCGGCGGACGGTAGCCATCTCCATTGGGCCACCTTCGTTGACTCCAGAATCTCGGCTACTCTGTTCCCTACGAACTGCTTGTAGCGCCTGTGCGTGCTCTTCGAGTCCGTCCATAGCACAATCTCTGCAATAGGCACACTTTGCCTGACTGTGTCCATCAATCTCGTTCCTAGAACTGCTGCCTGCAGCTCCAACCGTGGAATCGTCATCGTTCGCATAGGTGCACACTTTGTCTTTGCGCACACGAACCTCACTTGCACGTCGCCGTCCTCATACGTGATTCTCCAGTAGACCACTGCCGCGAATGCCGACTGACTCGCATCCACGAAATTGCACGTTTTCATCCTTTCTCGATAGTCTTCACCAGTCCAGATCCAAAATAGTGACGTGGGCTCCGAAAGTTTTCCACTTTATCCATTTCCTTACGCCAATCCATAAAGGCGTTGTACATCTCAGCCGGTAGTGGCTCGTCCCATGAGATCCTCTTTCTCCAGACTTCTCGCAACAACAACTTCGCTGTTACCATTAGGCAACACAGAAATCCCAAGGGGTCAAACGTTGACATGACCATACTTAAGAATTCCCTTTTTGTGGCAATTCTCTTCCCATCGGATACGATGGGGGCAACTTTGTGGTACTTCACTCGAAACCTGAAGTCGTCCGTGGCTGACTGCCACCGCATTCCCAAAATCTTTTGCTCGGCTTCACCCCATCCAATACTCTGGGCGTGGTCACTGGGTCCGAGCATCCTCTCTACTGTAGGCGAACTAGACGAAAACTTGCAAAGCTCAAAACCGCCTTCTGCATGTATCTCCTTTACTCTAGTAGATACTTCGATAGCTTCCCTCTCTTTGGCGAAGCTGTCCACGTAGTCATCCACGTAGTGGTAGTCCTCGATGGCCTTGACTGCTCTGGGATCCGAATCCTGGAATCGCTTGGAATTCGCTGTCTTCACGTGATGAGCCGCACTCGGTGAGCATGCAGCTCCAAAGATCATCACGCACGTTTCATAAACGTCGGGGTCTCGTTGGTTATCCCCATCTCTCCACAGAAATCGTTGCGCACATCTATCTTCGGGTCGGATCAGCACCTGGTTTCCTTAATGTCACTGCAGACTCCGACAGCACCTTCTCTAAAATGGAAGAGGATAGATGCCAAGGCCTTATAGTGTTGCGGCCCCTTGCTCAGCGCAGAATTCAGCGATACTTCTCCAACTCGTGCCGCTGCATCGAATACCAATCGAATCTTTCCTGGCTTGTTGGGATTCTCCACTCCAAAATGTGGCAAGTACCATATCCTATCGCCTCCCATAGCGATCTCCTGTCGCTCCAGACGCCGAGCGTATCCCTTGACGACGTAATCATTGATAATCCGTGAGTACTCTTGGGCGAACTGCCCATCTCGCTTTATTTTCTTTTCGATATTGACCAACCAATAAGTAGCTTCGGCATTGCATTTTCGTAGGGCTTCATTGGTAATCGAGCGTACTTGTTCACGCTCCTGACATCTCTTCGTTGCAGGCTCTGCATCGGCAAACTCAGTTTCGGAACGGCATACACGTTTCTCAGCACATGTCGGGAAGAGTTGCCTGCTCCACTAATTCCACTAATATTGGACAATTCCTGAGGCAGCTTTCCTGTTGCTCGTCCTGCTCATGGTCGATGCTGGCATGAAGCAATCGACGCCTTGGCTCTTTTCCATCAATGTCCGCCACCATGCAGACATCGTTCGCTAGTTCCATCAACCACGAACAAAAGTCCACGATAGTCGGAAAGGGCTGAATAGTTAAAGCGTGCCCACTCCACTCGTTTGCTTATCGGGAGCTTGGCCACAAGGTCTTCCATCAGGGTAGGGTTACCCAGGTGCTGCTCTGCCTTCGCTGACTGTAGGAAGGCCTTGAGGTTACTCACATGTGTGGCGTATGCGACGAGCTTTCCTAGGTTGTGTTCCGAAATTCCGGGCACATCTCGAAGGCTGTTGAGCTGGCTGCGTATTAGTTGCTCTGGTCGTCCATATCTGAAACGCAGCTGCTCCATCGCTGCATTCGCATTGCTGGGGTGAATCAACAGCGCCTTGACCGTCTCACGCGCGTCATCCTTTAACGCCTTCAGTAGCCTTTGGTTGTTCTCCAAGTCCGTACAACCATATGCTTGCGTCGTTTCCATAAACGCGCAATAGAAGATGGGCCAATCCTCTGGCTTCCCTCCAAACGTAGGCAGCTCAGGAAGCTTTCGTGGGGCCCAGCTTGCATTTCCTCCAATACTCGTCGCCCAAGCACCGTATCCAGGAGAAGGCGCTCGTACCGATGTTCCGCCGGCCGCTTCGTTGTGTAGTCCGAAACCATGCGCTGGAACCGTAGTGCCGGTAGCGCAAAATGGCGATGCGTGAGTAGTCCTTGTGGCACAGTTCTGCGAAACCAAGAGGTCGGCCACCTTCGGTTTGTTGGCGGCTCCAGATGCTGCCGGCTGAGCAGATGACACCGGGGCTTTACTGCTTCGGCCGCCATCTTGCGGCGTCCCTGCGCTCGGTTGTGGAACCAATACGCTGCCATCCATTTGCGTCACGATATCCTGTCTCTCGTTTAGTCGAGGACTCCTTCTGGGCGAATGCTGCATCATGTCGTCCATGCACTTTGCGCTGCCTGTGCAAGATCAACCCTCTCGCCAGGGTGCTACTCCAGATCCAAGTCGCCAGTCGCCTGACTGCGAATAAAAGCTTCTGTCGTCGCTCGGGTGGGAGTTGCCTTAAACATACGACGGCGATGGGGCAACCCGCCTTAAAACACCAATGTAGCTCCGTGTATATATGTATGTTTTATTCTAGTGGAAGTACAAGTTATAGAAAAGATGCTAATAATAATAATAAACATTACCGCAGTATAACCTCCCACACTCCATGGCTTTCGACGACAAATTCACCACTAAATTCACCATTTATCTACCTAGTGTGCCCAATCTCTTCATGAGGGCACAATACCAAATTTCAATAATAATACTTAATATTAAACTATCGATAATCGATCCGCGACATACATATATAGACAGTCATCAATTATTTTTCCGAACGAGCACGAATTTTCCGTTCCGTGATTTTTCTAACGCTGCTTCTACTCCGCATCTGGCAACATCCGCCTAGAATCTCAACAAACCTAGGCCCATCTGGTTTTTTTTGGCTTCCTGAAGATTCTCCCACATTCGAATTGTGCCGCATCCGACGTTCCTCTCGACATCGGCGCTACTAATTCCCACTTGGCCTTGCAATCGCATTTCGTCCGCGATCTCACCGGTCTCATCACATTAGTGACCGGCTACCGCTTCGTACGAGGCACCCATTGCGCGCGTCAGTCGACAAGCTCTGACCAGCGAATTGGTGTCTGAGAATGCCCACCGGAGACGACCAAAAGCCACGTCCGATCCTAACCATCCGTTTGGACAGATCTCAATCTGCTTCTCCGCGGACGCCTCTTTTGAAGCCTAAGGCGTACAGTGCCATTCCAAGGGCAAAGAGTGACGAATCCGTCAATACAATCCCCGGTCCTTCACAGAGGCAGACTCGTTCCGTTGCAAAAATGGCTCAAAGAGCGGTCGACGTGGCGCTGAAAAAGTTCATCGCCACAACAGATCGAATTATCCAATTTGAGGCAAACATAAATACTCCGGGCGCCAGAGAAACGGAAGGAGGCTCCCAATACATTTGCGAGGTCCATCGGGACCAAACTCGGGCACTGTGGGAGAAGGTGGAGAAAAGCTATGAGAGCTGCTCCGATTTGCTAGCCGTGTCAGACGACAATGTGGCCACCTCGACCGTGCTGGAATCGAAGTACAACTATTGTTACTCCGTCTATTCGAGATGTATTGCCCAGCTTCGGGAGAAAATTGCTTCCCAATCCAGGCTTTCGTCAATGCCCACACGCCCGCGCCTACAGGCTGCCGGTTACCTCCGGTGGATACCGAGGTCTTCGCGGGCGATTATCTGCGGTGGTCCACCTTCAGAGACTTGTTTTCGGCCATTTACATCCAAAATTCGCGGCTCACCCCGGTAGAGAGGTAGTTCCACTTACTGTCCAAAACAAGTGGAGACGCCCACGCCATTGTCTCTAAGGATCCGCTTACCCATGAGGGGTTTGTCGTCGCTTGGCAAAGCCTCACGGACCACTTTGAGAACCGGCGGCTATTGGTCAATAGCCAGTTGAAAATCCTTTTCAACCTCCAGGCTATTTCTCAAGAGTCCGGGGTCGCGCTGAAGGAGCTCTAAGCCACCATTCAGAGTTGCCTGACAGCCCTAGAAATGTCCGCCATCAATGTTGAGGCTTGGGACTGCCTCCTGGTGTTTATGATTTCGTCAAAGCTCCCCAAAGTCACACTTTCCATGTGGGAGCAATCCGTCCATAATAAGGCCGAGATTCCAACATGGAAGGAATTAGACAACTTCCTGACAGAGCGCCATCGCACTCTGGAGGCCATCGACGACGTCAGGCTTAGTGGCTCCGTGCAACTTCCGCCAAGGTCGGGAACTCCTACTGCCCCTGCTCGAAGGCTTAATTCATACGAGACTCGAGTGGTTCCGGGCCCCAAGGGTTGCGATCTCTGTTCGAGGGAGAACCACCCCATTCGCTTATGTCCGCGGTTCCTGGAAATGGACGTAAATGGGCGCTCGGACTACATTAAAAGGAAGCAGTTATGTTTGAACTGTTTTGCCCGAGGCCACCAGCAACGAGACTGCACGAGCGCCCATACCTGCTTCACATGTCACAGCCGACTCCACACCCTCCTGCACCGCGGCAATCCGTTCGCCACCGCTTCAAGTCCGCCTACGACAGCAAGGGCTCGACCCGCCCAGACTGCTAGAAGCACAAATGGCTCAGAAGATCAGTCGGATGTGCAGGTGTGCTTCGCTTTCGGGTCAGGAGCCGTCCTACTGGGCACTGCCCTTATCAACGTGTGCCATTTGGGGTGCAGCTTCAGACCATTTCCGCGCAGTCTACTAAATTGTGCCATTTCTCCATTCGGTCGCCGTCTAGACCCGGGCTACAATTAGAGACTGCGGCCTACGTTCTTCCGCAGTTGGCAGGAAATCTGCCATCATACCCGATTCCGCGAGATCGTCTCAAGGGGCTGCCCGTTATTCCCCTGGCGAACCCCAACTTCTTTGAGAGCTCCCAAGTCGATGTGTTAATAGGAGCTGACATTATTCCGTCCATTCTCCTTGGTAATTTCAAGGCTAACATCTGCGGGTCGCTTCTCGGTCAGGAGACCATTTTTGGATGGGTGCTGACAGGCCCATTATCTCCAGCCAATACCCGCAGCGTGCCCGTTTTTTCCACACGAGTGGCCCCCAGCCTCGGTGACTCACTGGATCAGCTCCTCACCAAATTCTGGGAGGTGGAAGATGTGCCCACACACATAAGTTCGGAATCGGATTCAGTTTGCAAGCACAATTTTGTCCAGACGTCGAGAAGAGACGAGTGTGGCAAGTACGTTGTGACGCTACCCTTACGCGACCCCTGGCAGAAGGGTTCCGAGCTAGCGGCTTCACGGTCCTTTGCCCTTGCTCAGTTCCTGCGTAATGAGCAGCGCCTGAAGAGGGACCCACCCCTTAAGGCCCGCTATGACTCGGTAATTCAGGAGTACATCGACTTAGGCCACATGACCGAGGTCTCTCCCGCGAGCAATTCCGCTACCTACTATCTTCCACATCATGCCGTCTTCAAGCCCGAAAGCACGACCACCAAGGTGAGAGTGGTCTTCAATGCTTCGAGCCCGTCCGCAAACGGGACCAGTCTGAACGACATTCTTTACGCGGGACCGGTCTTACAATCCGACCTGACGATTCAAATCCTAAAGTGGCGATACTTTAGGTTTGTCTTCAACGCCGACATCGAGAAGATGGATCGGCAAATTTGGGTAGACCCCAAGCATACTCCGCTCCAACGTATTTTGTTTCGCAATCCCGATGGGGATATCCGCGACTACGAGTTAAAAACGGTCACCTTCGGTGTCAATTGTGCCCCGTTCCTGGCGATCCGTGTGCTGCAACAGCTCGCTGACGACGAAGAGTCGAAGTATCCGCAGGCAAGCCAAGTTATCCGGCATTTTATGTACGTTGATGACGTTCTCGCGGCGACAGACTCCAAAACTGAAGCCCAAGCTGCGATTCGGGAGCTGAAAGAGGCCCTTGAGTCAGCAGGGTTCCCACTTAGGAAATGGACGTCGAATAGCAAGGCAAGCCTGGCTGACATTCCAAGCGACCACCGTCTTCGTGCTGACTTCCTCGACATCGATGCAGAGAGCACGGCCAAGACACTCGGCATGCGGTGGAAAGCGACGACTGATGAATTCTTTTTTGTCCCGCCAGAATTGATTTCCGGCTCGGCTTTCACGAAGCGCCAAGTCCTCTGGCTCGATCCTTTCATTGTTCGGGCAAAAATGTTGATGCAACACATTTGGCTTCTGACATTTGGATCAGATTCGTGTTCCTCGGTGGGTCGCGTTCCAACCACACCTAAAGGTCGAACACCACGGGTTCTGCGACGCTTCACAGAAGGCGTACGGCGCAGCAATTTACTTTCGTGTCGAGGTTGGGTCCACGGTAAAAGTGACCCTGCTGACTGCAAAGACTCGGGTGGCCCCAGTTAAGACGGTGTCGCTCCCTCGACTAGAACTGTGCGGTGCCTTGTTGTTGTCCGAGATGGACACCGCCGTCTGCCCTATACTGTTGGACCGACTCGACTATTGTCCTCGCGTGGCTGCATAAGCCAGGGTGCCAGTGGACAACGTTCGTGGCCAACCGGGTGACCAAGATCACCCAGTTCACCGACGTGCAGAAATGGGCACATGTCCGCTCTGAGCAGAACCCTGCGGATCTCGCTAGCCGGGGCGTAGCTCTCCAAGATCTTGCAGATAACCTGTTGTGGTGGCACGGTCCTGACTGGCTGCAGAGGCCTCGCAGCGACTGGCCCACTCAAGGCAATGATGCCCCCGCGACTGAACTCGAAAAGCGAGCAGTCAAGGTCCATGTCGTGAAAGCGCCCCCCATAGATCTCCTTGAGCGTTTCTCCATACTCGACAAGGCATTACGAGTCCTTGCCTATGTTAATCGCTTCATCCAGCGCGCGCGGAAGATTCGACCCTCGTTTAAAGAACATCTGACGGCTAATGAGGTTACGTCGGCTGAACGTCTTCTAGTTTCCGTCACTCAGCGCAGACACCTTGTCTCTGAGATGGGCTGCTTAAGCGAAAAGCGTCCAATATCGGCATCCAGTCCGATTCAAAATCTGAACCGTGGGTTCGCAAGTGGGTTCGCAAGGCCTTATGAGAGCCTGTGGCCGGGTCACGTCCTCTGAGCTTCTCCAATATGACGAACGGCACCCTATTATCCTTCCGTACGACTGTCATCTGTCTCGACTCCTGGTTCATTTTACACATCGCATCACGCTGCACGGTGGCAGTCAGATGATGATCGTCTGATCCGGGCCAAATTCTGGATTCCAAGGGTGAGGAATTTGGTCAAGTCCGTCGTCTATTCTTGTAAGGTATGTGTCATACACAAGAAGAAGTTGCAGACGCAACTCATGGGAGAGCTACCCAAGGAACGGACGTCCTTCTCGCGCACATTCACGCACACCCGTGTGGATTATGCCGGTCCCTTCGAGATAAAAAACTATACGGGGAGGGCCTGTCTCATCACAAAGGGTTATGTGTTGGTTTTTGTGTGCTTCTCCACCAAGGCCATCCATTTAGAGCCTACGTCGGACCTTACGACCGAGAAATTTCTGGCGGCTTTCGCACGGTTCGTGTCCCGGAGAGAATACCCCCGTCAAGTGCAGTCCGACAACGTGAAGACCTTTGTGGGAGCAGCTGCTCTTCTATCCCGCGATTTTCTCCAGAGCCTAAAGGGGGCTGTGACCGGTGCCTATAGTCAC